TGTCCAGTTCCCGAATGTTAAAACTGAGAGGTACTTTTCTGGAAGACAGATACAGGTACAAGTTTCCAAACTAGCTGTGTTTCAACACACAGTAAAGTGGAACCACCTCAAAGCATGTATTAAAGGAGTGGAATTTTGGCTTACCTATATGGACTATATGGACAAACCACAATGTTATTGGAAACAAAGATGGTTTTATGTCTCTATGTTAAATAATGAGAGAGATATGTGGATAGGATATCTCTGGCTGAAGTAATTCTTACAAGTTTTAATTTTAATATAGTTGCCTGATGTTTTTTGTTGATGTAAATGTAACCCCGAGGACCTTTAGTGGCCGATATGAGCAAGAGCAAACCATAGTGCAAGCAGACATCCACCTGCACATCTGGGCTTTGTCTTCCTCTCCACGCCCCCATGTGCCCCTAAAATCTGTTCAGGAAGGGAAAATAGAAGACAGAAGATCTGCTGGGCAAACTGGTGGACATCACTGGATGTTACTTTTACATACAGCAGGCTAGTAGTAAGGAGGTAAAGAAACTAAAGGTGGTATTCAGCTATTCTTTATGCAGAGAAGACTCATAAAAATGAAAGTGACAAAAATAGGTTGATTAATTTCTCTGGGTTTACTCGGCGTAAACCTTAGTTGAATACCACCCTTTGTTAACTTGGAAAAGTGCTCTGTTTTACTCTAGGTTGCTCTCAACTATAATCTCAAGTATGTGGCTACATGTGTAGAACGAGCAATTTGCCTAAGGCACTGAACATGTCACATTATTTGAGAAAGTGAGAAGCAGCTTGTGGACTGTCAATAGCATGAGCAAAGTCTAGAAGTGATGTCTGTAGCATATCTCTTAAGCACATGGACAATATGCCCATGTTTCAGTACTCTGATAATCATTTACCTAGACTGGGGGTTCCCAAACTGTGGTCCACAGACCATCAGCTTTGTTTGTGTGGTCCACAACATGCCTGTGAAGAACACTTACAATTTGAATTCTACAGAATTATGTGGAATTCAAATTGTACTACAATAAAATAGAGTGTAAGATATAAAAAGCCAAAAAAAAATTTTTTAATCTTAAGGCATATGGCACAGTGCATTACCACTGCTATAAAAGGGAAAAGAAAAAAGGAGCAAAGAGTGCTCTGCCAATTCCCTAAGCATTTTTAAAGAGGGGGTGGGATTTGGGAACAACTGATCAAGATTATGCAGTTTTCACAAGATGTAATCTCCTAGGTAGAGCTACAGACAGGCACATCCACACATTATCTGATAGGTTGATGGAATTATCAGGTCAGTGATATCAGGATGAAGGTTGTTTTGGTGTGGCAGAAAAGAACTAATGGAAAAATATTATGCAATTTGATTGCAAAAGTTGGAAAGTCTTGGATGCTGTCCAATGGAACGGATTGTAAAATTAAATTAGTATGCCTATACTCAGCCATCAAGCTGTATGTTTTATTCCTCAGAAACTTATATTTAAATTTTTAAGAATGGATTAAAAAGTGGTTCATCTGATTCCTAGAGTTGTATTAAGACAATTAACACGACACCCTTTACAGTGGTGCCCCGCAAGACGAAAAACTCGCTAGACGAAAGAGTTTTCCGTTTTTTGAGTCGTTCCGCAAGACGAATTTCCCTATGGGCTTGCTTCGCAAGGAGTTTGTTTCCTTTTTCTTAAAGCCGCTAAGCCGTTAATAGCCGCTAAGCCGCTAAGAGCCGTGCTTCGCAAGACGAAAAGACTCGCGGAACGGATTAATTTCGTCTTGCGAGGCACCACTGTATTGTGAACTGTTTAAAATTTTGCACTTTTGTACAAGTATCTAAGTGTCTTTTTAGCACACAACATGCTTGTGTTCCCAAAACGTTATCTATGAAAAAAAATGAGTATGTAAAACATATTTTTATTTGGACCTTTTTACTGTATGAAATCAAAAACATTACATTAGCACAAGCCGGTTCAAGGTAAGGCCCAAGCGCAGACCATTGTCCTCTTCCTAACTATGTGTAGCTTCAGCCATACATAGCCTTTTCCTATATATATATCTCTCTGCAAATCTGCAGGCCAAACAGGTTTCCCAGTATTGGGGGATATAGAGCTTATCTATAGTACGTTCTGTCACTGCTTCTTACCATGAATTTAGAAGGATCTGATGGAGTTAAAACTAGTTTTTCCAGTCTGTTGGAACCTGACTAATCTGACTGAGACAGTGAGAATGACTAATTAATAATGAAAACTAGTTGTGAAGCTCCAGCTACTGAACTCAGAAGAAATAAAGATGGGGTGGAGATGAGAAAGAGATAAGAAAAAAGGGGAAAGATAGGGATGCAGAATATGCACTACTGCAGAAAGACAAGAATGAATATTATGGGATACAGAGGGGTTAAAGAGTTGTGGAGAGTGGTGTGAAGTTAGGGTTCTTGTTCCTTTTGCATTTTACACATTGGCCGCATCAACCATTTTGGAATGATTCTTTTGGAATATCAAACTTCTATATCTTCCACAAGTGATACTAGGCAAAGATACACTCTGGGACAAAACATGAATTTCAGTTAACATAAATGAGTATGGTCGTAATGCATGCATCACTGCATGAAGAGCATGGGGTTGCGTACTGAAATTCCCAGTGCCAGTAAAACTTCACCTCTTATCTTACTGTTGCACACCACCCCAATCTCCACAGCAGTGCAAGATTTCAGGTGTCAGGCACTTACCCAGGGTTTGTGTTTCCTTTTGGAAATAAGGCACAGTAGAGACTGTGGTGTCTTTAAGATACATGGTTTATTTATACACACTGTATATACAACCTAAACCTATGATGTAGGGGCTTCCAGGATTACACTCCAAGAGGGTTTCATTTCTTCCATTTCTGCAGCCTTGGATTCACATTGTCTGCCCCCATTGTGCTCTCTCCCCACTTTCACCAGCCTGCTGCAATTTACAACTATTTCCCCTCCAGTTTACATCATTTCCCACTGCAATCCTGAAACTCCCTTCTAAAAACTCTGGTAATGTCTTCTGCTAACTACCCACAGTTCAGAGTGGAGCTCCACCCATTCGCTGTCCGGCACAGAGAGTCTCTGTTAATGGCTCATATTCCCTGCCTTTGTTTGCTTAACAAACCGGCCATTATCAGGCTGGCCTGTATTTTTACACAGCTAAATGCAGCAAAGCATTGATTAAATTATAGCACTTAATTTATGGCACCCAAAACCCCATTAAATCACAATATAAACTGCCCCAGGCCACTACACAACAGTCAGTACTGCCATCAGGATTGCTGTGTCAGCACTACAGAATAACCTGCCCATAATACAAAAGTGTATCACAAGAGTACTATAGAAGAGCAATAAAGACAAGGCTAGCAACATCTTAAATGAAATCACAGCAAAATATGCCAACAAAAGTGTGTATCAAGGGCACTTGGAGTTGTTACTAGAAGCAAATGTGGCAGAGTTAAACAAGTAATGCCTTTCTGCCTCACACAGGATGCTATTTTAGCTATTGCAGGAGATGAATCTGTGCATAGTTCAGAGAATGGGACGGAGACGTAGGATTAATTAAATTTTTAAGGTACTATTGGTGAAGAATTCCAAATAAATCAAGAGCTACAATACTGACATATACTGGCATATACTGACAAGCACAGAAGCTGGTTTAATAAAAGCAATTCTACATGGCTTTTTAATTTCTTAAGGGGAAAAAATCTACATTATTCATGACCCTAAGATGCATATATTATAATACACTGGCAGTTTAGTAAGGCCAAGAATTAAATCTATTGATTACATTAACATAAAAGAGAGCATGTTTCAAAAACTCATACAGGTCAGTTGCAGAGCAATCAAACAAAAGCATAACTCTGATTTTTTTTTTACTTGGCTCCTAATGAGATCCTTTACATTATACAAAAGCTCTAAAAAAGTTCCTGCCTTATGTTCTTTTAATTCTGCTTTAAATTTCCATTTCTGAAGCTTTGGCTTTTATTATTGCTTTTCCTTTTAAAAAAAATCTTGGAAGCTATGTCAAGTAACTCTCAACTGTGGAAAATTGGGGTATATATATGATAACCTCAGTATACCATAGGCATGCGAACCCTTAAGGGATCCAAGCACAGGATAAAACTATTCTAGTAAGCTCCATTCTGCCAGTAAGATGTCTTACATAAATTTAATAATGACCCTAAATAAATATTTCTTGGGAGAAAGGGCCAAAAGGCAGATAGATACAAAGGATTATCCCCAATCAAAAAAATCTATAATGACTACCAATTCCTGCTTCTGAACTCTAAATCTCTATGATGGAACGGAATCACAACACTTAACAAGATAATGTCTCCCCCCTCCAATGCATATGGCCAGAAAACCATCCACATCAATAACCAACATCACTCAAAACATTATCTCTAGAAGTATGCATCAGAAAAGAGGTTTTTTAAAACCCTGACTACAAGTATAAAAGCAAGAACTAATCTTATGAATCTTACTGCGCAGCTGAAGCTTTCGCTGGGCAGAAAAATTTAAACAATTAAAGTACAGCCTTACTCTCCCCGCCCCAAATCTGCCACAGCGCCGATTACAGAAAAGCAGCATCAGCAGAATGTGAAGTGATCGGCTAATCCGTGGCGAGTGACCTTGAGTGTGTACCGCACTTTATTCCCGTCCAATGCCAGTTAAGGAGGAGGGGTGAGCCAGGAGGGCTCCTCTCAAAACAAGGAGAAACGCTCAAAAGTTATCACCCGCCAACATAAAAGGGGAAGACACACACTTGCGCAGGAGGGAAAAGGCGTGCGCGAGTTTGACGAAGTGGGGGAGAAGAAACGAAGGCAGCCGAGAACTGCTGGGGCTCAACAGAGGCCTAGGAGGGGAAGGCACTGGCCGGACTGTGCGGAGAGACGTCGAGGGAGCGAGAGAGGGAAACGGGGGCTGGCTGCCGAGGCCTCCACTGGAGAATTCCGAGCCAAGGGGCACCGGCGCGGCGGAGGGCGGGTAGACTCACCTGCCCACGCGCCCAGGTGCGGGCCCACCGCCGCCGGGTTGCCCAGCACCCACAGGCGGACGGCATAAACTACGTGCTGAAGCAGCAGCCACACGAAGTAGGCGACGCTCGACACCCCGACCCAGTAGAAGAGGCCGGCGTAGGAAGACAAGAAAGAATCTGAGGCCCCCATAGCTCCGCCGCAGCTCCTGCGACCACAGCGACGAGACGGCTGAGGCGAGAATGAGCCCGCCCGGCTTCCGCCGGGCCTGTCCCACGGAACAGCCCCGCCCCCGCGGCGTAGCCATTGGCTGGCCGCTTCTCCCGCGCGCCCTCCCATTGGACGTTTTGCAGCTCGCGGGGAGTCCACGCTCGCGGAGGCCTACTCAAGTCATTCTTTCTCTCCGAAACCGCCCTCCTCCACACAGAGGAGCCGGTCCCTTCGCGCGTGCGCACTCAGGGGTGGGGCGGGGTGGAGCCTATTCCTTTGCCTCTTATTGGCCGAGGCCTTCTTCATTCATGTGGTGGCCACGCGGTAAGCAGGTGGGCGGTTTTTTCCTCGGCGGGTAAATTGAAGGCGGGGAGCAATCGGGCGGCTCGCGTGTGGAGTCCACGCTCAAGGCCGGCCCACCCATGAGGCAAAGGTGAGGCGACTGCATCGGGGAGCAAGATCCACAGGGGCAGCAGATCCCAATGTAGATCTTTGCGTGCTGGATGAAAAGAGGCTCGTGGGACCTTCATGCCTGAAGTCTTGCTACTGCTGAGATGTTGCCCCGCTGAGTTCTTCTTCCACTCTTAGAGATATTTGTGTGTGGTTGTCCTCCACAGTGTTTTTCCCTCTTTGGGGCATAACTCAGGAAATGAGACAGTAGCTCGTAATAAAACTAATCTTCCCTCCCCCGTAGATGGTTGTGCAAGCAGGCTCTGTGCCCTAGTGGGGAAATCTATTCTCACCAGTAGGAGGTATCTCTTCAGAAATGATGTTATCAGCAAGCAACAAGTGCCTTGCAAGGCACACGGTATCTGTTTAAGATCTGTATGGGCATGTTCGCAACTTTTCATGTGCATTGGCAAATACGTTTGAATCACCCAAATTTCTTGCAGGCATGCAGCCAGCTATGTGACTTTTCCTGCATGGTGTATCTGCTATAGGTCCCAAGACATTTCACTTCATCTCTTTGTTCATGTGTCTATAAATCATTTGGCTGAAGGTTGCATTGGATCTTTTAGCTTTTTGCATATAAGGGGGGAAAGCCCCGTTTTATAGCTTTGGGCACCAGGCAAAAGCCTTTCTTTATAACCAGGGCTTTGGGTGATTGACATTCTGTGGCCTTTAAAATGTGTTTGTGGAAAGAGGATTATTGGTTTTTTGTGTGTGTTGTGAACTGCCCTGTGATCTTCGGATGAAGAGCAGCATACAAATTTAATAAAATAAATAAGATACTGTCTCTTCTTTCTTGAGAAAGTTATTAGTATACACAGATACCTTCTTGTCATGATGTCCATTCCATATGATAGAGAAATCGGGAGTTTAGCTTCACTTTGAAGCTAACTTCTGTTACTTTTGCTGTTCCTTTTCCAGCAACACTTTTAATTGGATATACGTGGGTGGCACTGTGGGTTAAACCACAGAGCCTAGGACTTGCCGATCAGAAGGTTGACGGTTCGAATCCCCGCGACAGGGTGAGCTTCCGTTGCTTGGCCCCTGCTCCTGCCAAGCTAGCAGTTCGAAAGCACGTCAAAGTGCAAGTAGATAAATAGGTACCGCTCTGGCGGGAAGGTAAATAGCATTTCCGTGTGCTGCTCTGGTTCACCAGAAGTGGCTTAGTCATGCTGGCCACATGACCTGGAAGCTGTACGCCGGCTCCCTTGGCCAGTAAAGCGAGATGAGTGCCGCAACCCAGAGTCGGTCACAACTGGACCTAATGGTCAGGGGTCCCTTTACCTTTTTTATCCCAGTTTGTATCTATAGTGGACTTCAAATTGCTTTTCAGTACAGTTTTATTGTTGGCGATTGACTACTTGGAGTAAGCATTTGATTGCACATATTTTGGTTAAAGGCACATTTGACTTGATTTCTTTATGGAAAACTTCTATACCCAGCTATCATCTTCTGATGTTCATCTCTTACAGCACCTTCATATTGTATTGGTGCACATTCAGTTTATCCAGTGTAAGAGATGGTGGGTAGGCTTTCACCATAAGAAAATGTACACAAGGAGGTTTGTGAGGTATCCTGCGACTCAAGGAATAAACCTATAGGATTATAGAGGATTATCTCAACCATTACACACTATATGAAATTACAGGACTTGGTAATGCCCAGTTGTGTGGGAGTTAAACTTTAGCAATGATTGAAAAAGCAGGATTATCTCAACATCATTGGCTGGAGTGTCAGTTGTAGCAATGAACACATTACGTGCCACCCCAGTCACTTGTAGAGACTATCTGGGAAAAATTAAGAGGCCAACTGGATCAGGCCAAAGGCTCATCTAAGTCCAGCATCCTGTTCTCACAGTAGCCAACTGGATGGCAATGGGAAGCCTGTAGCAGGACGCGAGCAACATCCCCACTTGCAGCCCTGGTATTGACACATACTGTATTGACTTCAACAATGGAGGATGTACTGTACCATCAAGTAAACACCATTGATATCTTTATCATCTGTGAATTTGTCTAATCTTTTAAAGTCTTCCAAGCTGGTGGCTATCACTACTACTTGTAGGAGCAGGAAATACTCTGTACTTTCGTCTGTCCTGAATCTTCCAACTTTCAGCTTTATTGCATTGCCCCAGGTTCTAACATGGAGAGGGAGAAAAACTACTCTCTATCCACTCTCCACACCATGGATAATTTTATATATTTGTCATGTCTCGTGTGCCTTTTCTCTGAAGTAAAATAAAAAATCCAAATGCTGTAACCTTTCCTCATAGGGAAGTCACTTTGTCCCCTTTGATCATTTTGGTTGCCCTTTTTCAGTTATACAATACAGTGGTACCTCAGGTTACAGACGCTTCAGGTTACAGACTCCGCTAACCCCGAAATAGTACCTCAGGTTAAGAACTTTGCTTCAGGATGAGAACAGAAATTGCGCGGAGGCGGAGTGGCGGCAGCGGGAGGCTCCATTAGCTAAAGTGGTACCTCAGGTTAAGAACGGACCTCCAGAACGAATTACAGTGGTACCTTGGGTTAAGTACTTAATTCGTTCCGGAGGTCCAATCTTAACCTGAAACTGTTCTTAACCTGAAGCACCACTTTAGCTAATGGGGCCACCTGCTGCCGCCGCGCCGCCGGAGCACGATTTGTGTTCTCATCCTGAAGCAAAGTTCTTAACCTGAGGTACTATTTCTGGGTTAGCGGAGTCTGTAACCTGAAGCATATGTAACCCGAAGCGTATGTAACTTGAGGTACCACTGTAAATTCTTAACCTGAGGTACCACTGTATCCATTTTGAAGTAGGGCAACCAGAACTTTACACAATATTCCAATCATGGTTAATCCATAGATTTGTTGAATGGCAGGAGATTGGCAGTTTTATTTTCAATCCTTTTCCTAATGATCCCTTACATGAAATTTGTCTTTATCATAGCTGCAACATACTAGGTCATCACCCTATTGAGCTATTAACCACAAACCCAAGGTTTCCTTATTGGTCTGTCACCACCAGCTCAGACTCCATTAGCAATTGTTTTGCCCCAATGTGTATCACTTCATTTGTGACCGGTAGCTTTTGTGCAAATGAATGGATAGTTTTCATCCTGCTGTCTTTCTGACAATTTTCTACTCTCTTTTAAGCTCTTATCTGCATTGCTCCATTTGTTAACTAGCAAGTAGGAATGTCAAAACTTTTTTTAAAAATCATTTTAAATACCTTACTCTCATTTCACCTAGTTTTATATCTCTCATAATTAATGCCAGCGTATGACAGTGGTGTTTGATACCTTGGTTGTTTTCATGTCTTAAAGTACCAGCTCCAGTTTGCCCTTTTTATTGTCCTGTTCAGAAGAATTAGGGAGCCTTGGTTTATAATCTAAAAATGGCTGTTACTTGTCTGAACAAAGACCTATTGCTTACTTAAAAGTAAGAGCCTTTATCCGCATGTTTTGGACAGGAGCCAGGACATAACCTATAGATGTGGCAACAACACAAAAGGTAAATTTGTGTAAGGCACCCTGTGGACTAAAATACTGTTGACTACTCCAATTTCTGAGCAAGCTTCCAGAGATTCCAGGCACTCACTCAGAGTCCATGTTTCCTTTTGGAATTGAGGGGCAGCAGAGACTGTGGTGTCTTTCTGATATATAGTTTATTTACAACCTGTGCCTACAGCATCAGCACCCTAAAAGGGTCTTGTTTCTCTAATAGCTGCAGCCTTAGATTCAATCAGAAATCAAACATTGCTCTCTGATGCTCTGCTTGCTGCTTTTTTTCCAGCTTCTAGCTCACATAACACAAACTCTGCTTTCAAACTCAGGCTTTTGTCCTTCTCTACCAGAGAGCTGGAAGAGGGCCCCCACCCATTTGCCATCTGACACAGAACCCTATTTCCTCTATTCTCTTAATGACCCCTTGCCTTTTGTTCTTCATGGCCCACCATCCCAGGCGATGACCTCATGAGGAAGCTAGCTGCCTTATAGGATGGATTAGAAAGGATGGATTAGAAAACTGGCATCACAAACTCTCTCTGTGCAATACTAATGTGTGGGCAGCTTTCCCAGCCCCACCAGGTGAAGCCATATGCCTCTAGTGTCGCAACTGCATAATAGAGTTTCTACAGGTGTTGTCAGTTTGTTCACATTCCCTTCCTTCCTTAGGCAAAAACTTTCTAAATGCCAAACTAGTAAAGCAGGATGAACTTAGGACTTATTGTGTTGAGTAGGCCATTTTGAAAGTCATTCTTTTAACCCAGAGGTGAGGAACTGCTGGAACTGACCTGACAACCATTGCTATTTGGCCTGTCAGCCTCTTGCTAAATTTGTCATGACATTATGCTGAAGATGGGAAAAATACTGTGAACCACTCTGAATCATGTGGGATCAGTAGTCGCAGTAGTCCTGGTAGAACTGGTGACACAGCTGCTGAAGAAGAAAAACCAAATCGAGCCACAAGAAGTCTGGAATCCACAGGCGCTCTCTGGGGTATTGAGGAGTGGTGGTCATCTGTGTGATAGCACCCACACCCGAGTGCTGGAAGTGCAGGAGTGTGCAGAGATCACTAGAGAAGCATCTGAACAAATTGGCAGTGATGACTTTCCTACATTTCCCTTCCAGGTGCCCCATCTAAGAGATGCTCCTCCTATCCGAAGTCTTTCTTCCCAGCAGCTACATCCAGTACTCACAGTGAAATTGAAAAGTGCATCACTT